TTTTTTTTTTTTTTTTTTTTTTTTTTTTTTTTTTTTTTTTTTTTTTTTTTTTTTTTTTTTTTTTTTTGCAGATTATCACATTTCTCATTCCTCTTCTAGACGATAAATTTCCTTTAATAAGGAGCATATCTTGTTGGACACTTTCTCGTTTCAGCAAGTTCATTGTTCAGGTATGTGTTCATGAGTGTTTAGTTTATTTTATTTTCAATATTTATGTAAATCTTATTCAAACTACTTGTGATATCCCACATCGATTGTGGAGGAGAACGAAACACCCTTTATAATGGTGTGGAAACCTCTTCTTAGCTGACACGTTTTAAAAACCTTGAGGGTAAGTGCGAAGGGGAAAGCCCAAAGAGGACATTATCTGCTAACGGTGGGCTTGGGCCATTACAAATGGTATCAGAGTCAGACACTAGACAATGTGCTAGCGAGGAGGCTGTTCCCCGAAGGGGGTAGAGACAAGGCGATGTGCCATCAAGGACGCTGGGCTCCGAAGGGGGATGGATTTGGTGGGGGTCCCACATCGATTGGAGAAAGGAACGAGTGCCAGCGAGGACGCTGGGCCCTAAAGGGGGGTGGATTGTGATATCCCACATCGGTTGGGGAGGAGAACGAAACACCCTTTATAAGGGTGTGGAAACCTCTCCCTAGCATATGCGTTTTAAAAACTTTGAGGGTAAGCCCGAAAGGGAAAACCCAAAGAGGACAATATCTGCTAGCGGTGGGCTTGAGCCGTTACACTACTATACTTCTTTTTCTAAATTGTGGTAATATTAATCGTGTGGTTTGCTTATTCCATGTCAAAATAGAAAACTTTTAGTGATATTTTTGGGGGATCAAAGTTGAAATATTTAGAATGCTTTGAGAAGACTTGTGTGGCTGTGGAATTCTGCTGTTATAGTATACAAGAATTGACAAAATTAAGGCCCGAGTATATGAACAATGATGTGTATCATATTTCACTTTTTCCCCATCTTAGGGCATTGGAACACAGCAAGGTTACGAACAATTTGATAAAGTTCTCATGGGACTTCTACGAAGATTATTGGACAATAACAAGAGGGTGCAAGAAGCTGCTTGTTCTGCTTTTGCAACGCTGGAGGAGGTTCTTTCATTGAAACTTCATTTTCTCTGCTAATGAATTATCCCTATATAGTTCATGATGGGGGTTTAGTAACTTGCAGGAAGCTGCAGAGGAGTTGGCGCCTCATTTGAAAAATATATTACAGCACCTAATATGTGCTTTTGGGAAGTATCAGGTATCCTAAGAAGAGTATGATGCTCTGTTTCTTTCTGGGTTTAAGGCTTTCTTCTCTTCGAGCTTGTATGTATTTGACTTGTATACGTGTTATCCAGAGACGGAATCTACGGATAGTGTATGATGCTATTGGAACCTTAGCAGATGCTGTTGGAGGGGAGCTGAATCAGGTAACACATTAATTTTGATGCATTTGTAGGCCAGCAACTTGTTGAGTGTACAGTTTTGATTTTCAGCATTTAGTACTTCAAAAACTGATTTCGTTTGATTTGTCATGATTGCAGCCTATTTATCTTGATATTCTCATGCCACCATTAATTGCCAAATGGCAGCAACTTTCGAACTCAGATAAAGATCTTTTTCCGCTTTTGGAGTGCTTCACGTCTATAGCACAGGTATCTATTTGTGTTTTAGTTGATTGGCTCATTGTTTTTTATGAGACTTACATTTGTTTGTATGGTGAGATCTCATATCGGTTGGAGGAGAGGGGAACGAAACATTCCTTGTAAGGGCGTGGAAACCTCTCCTTAGTAGAAGCGATTTAAAATTGTGAGGCTGACGGTGATACGTAAAGGGCCAAAATGGACAATATTTGCTAGCGCTGGGTTTGGACGGTTACAAATGGTATCATAGCCATACACCCTGAAGGGGGGTGAATTATGAGATCCCACGTCGGTTGGAGAGGGGAACGAAGCATTCCTTATAAGGGTGTAGAAACCTCTCCCCTAGTAGATGTGTTTTAAACCGTGAGGCTGACAATAAATACGTAACGGGCCAAAGCAGACAATAATTGCTAGCGGTGGGTTTGGGCCGTTACACCCACAATTCTAATTTGACAAATTATTGGAACGCTTTTCAGAACAGTTGGTAAAGCTGTGCAGTACCTAATTATATTACCAAAGATCTTTAATTTCCTTTCCTTTTTCTAGGCTTTGGGGACTGGATTTGCCCAATTTGCTCAGCCTGTGTATCAGAGATGCATAAGCATTATTCAGACCCAACAAATGGCAAAGGTTTGCCTGATTATTGAATTTCAATCAATACTTATTCAACTCCCCTTAATGAAAGCTTTCGTTTGCTCTTCGATTCTCTGTGCTTCTTTATGATATAATATAATGAAGTTGCTTAAGCTTTATCTCATACGTGTGCTTAGCTTCTTTATTAATCGTCCATGTTATCCTCTTCACCTCTTTTAAAATAATGCAAAGAAGGTCCTCAGTAGTTTGAGCAGTGCAGTAAGCATGTCTTGATCTTAATTTAGTTTTCTTCTCTCTGAACCGAGTGTGCAATATGTTCACTCCCGTGTTTGTACGAAGTGTCTTAGGCTGGTTGGTCCTTGATGATATGATTTGCGCGGTTAAGTTTTAACTATAGCATTTATCACTTCTAACTGCAATTCTATAATTGTTTGATTCATCTTCTTAAGATGTCGACTTGATTTTCTATTGCAGGTCGATCCCGTTTCTGCCGGGGTTCAGTACGATAAAGAGTTCATTGTATGCTGTCTCGATCTTCTTTCAGGACTTGCGGAGGGTCTTGGCAGTGGGATAGAAAGTTTGGTAATTAAATTCGAAACGAACCAGTTGCCTTCAATTAAAATTGAAATATGACTGCTCTCTTCTAGTAGTAATCGAACTATGACAATATATTCTGAACTTGGTTGCGTGTCGCATTTCATGGGATTTCCATCAGGTTTCTCAAAGCAACCTGAGGGACTTGCTCCTGCAATGTTGCATGGATGAAGCTTCTGATGTCCGGCAGAGTGCCTTTGCATTGCTTGGGGATCTTGGAAGAGTAAGCATTTGGATTGAAAAAGTTGCTCCCAGTTTTTACATTTTCGAAATTAATTGTTCATCCGTTGTTGGAATTTTATTAATCTTCTGTTGTGTTTATTGCTTATTTATATTTTTGTGGTTAAGGTATGCCATGTTCATTTGCAACCACGTTTGTCGGAATTTCTAACCGCTGCAGTGAAGCAATTGGTAAGTAAAACGATTTATGGTTTTCGTTTCCGATTTGAAATTGTTTTATTCGTCTTATACTTTGACTGCACAGGATACTCCTAAGCTGAGGGACATTGTATCTGTGGCAAACAATGCCTGTTGGGCAATTGGAGAATTGGCTGTTAAGGTATGTGTAGGCTTTCATATGCACAGTACTGGATATTGAGCTTGTATGGCTATATGTATTCACACATCCTTCTTATTGTGACTATTCAAGTCTATGTTTGGCATTGGGATAAAGATCATGTGTTGAAAAGTGTCGGGATTTTTTTAAAAGGAAAATAGTTTATTGTGGGATCCCACGTCGGTTGGAGAGGGAAACAAAATATTCCTTGGGTTGGGTTGTTACAAATGGTATTAGAGCCAGTTACCGGGTGATGTGCTAGCGAGGATGCTGGGTCCCCAAGGGGGGTGAATTGTGGGATCCTACATCGGTTGGATAGGGGAACGAAGCATTCCTTACAAGGGTGTGGAAATCTCTCTCGTTTTAAAACCTTGAGGGGAAGCCTAGAAGGGAAAGCTCAAAGAGTACAATATCTGCTAGTGGTGGGCTTGGGCTGTTACAAATGATATCCAGTCATTTGGCGATGTGCCAGCGAGGATGCTGGGCCCCCAAGGGGGGTGGATTATGGGATCCCACATCGGTTGGAGAGGCAAACAAAATATTCTTTACAAGGGTGTGAAAACCTCTCCCTAGCCGGTGTGTTTTAAAATCTTGAGGGGAAGCTTAGAAGGGAAAACCCAAAAAGGACAATATCTACTAGCAGTGGACTTGGGCTGTTACATTTATACATGCAAGTAACTTATGTAATGCATTCGATGGTAGAAGAAAGAATTCGTTATGCTAAAAGAAGGAACTCGTTATGGTGATTAAGATTTAGAATTTCTAGTCTTGCCTTGCATGAACCACGTTAATCTTTTTCATGGCAAATGAATTTTCAAGCAATTATTTTACATTATTTGAAATTGTTATTGATTTAGGTACACCAAGACATTTCTTCTGTCGTTATGACCGTGATTTCAAGCTTGGTCCCGATTCTTCAACACGCACAGGTGACAGTCCTTTTCTTTTACACGTACATAGTAACATGTCTCATTATTTATGTATTATGGCACTGATAAGCCTCTTGTTCGATGGCATATGGCACTGAATGTGTGTGTGTGTGTGTGTATTTAACAGGATCATTATTGTTTAGTTTCATTTCTTTGTGCTATGCAGGAGCTAAATAAATCTCTGGTAGAGAATAGTGCAATTACTCTTGGAAGGATTGCATGGGTTTGCCCTCAGCTAGTGTCACCACATATGGAACATTTCATGCAACCATGGTGCACTGCTTTATCCATGTAAGGTTCTTTATGATATCAATGCCGTTTTAAGAGGACATAGTTACGCCCAAGACACGAAACCACAACTGTTACTGAAAGTTCAAATTTACTAGACACTGGGTTAAGATTTTCATCATATTGGCAGGATACGTGATGACGTAGAAAAGGAGGATGCTTTCCGAGGTCTTTGCGCTCTGGTAAGGCTCTCGAGTTCGTCTCAAGTAGTATATATCTTTCTGATTAATAATTATTATGCCTTTGTTACTTTCAGGCTAAATCAAATCCATCAGGAGCTCTAAGTTCACTTGCTTTCATGTGCAAAGCCATTGCGAGTTGGCATGTAAGCATCGAAACTTTGTTTATCGATGACATCGCTCGATCTTTTCTTCCTTAGCTGAGCTTATTACCTGCAGGAAATAAGGAGTCAAGATCTTCATAATGAAGTATGCCAAGTTCTGCAAGGCTATAAACAGGTTGGTAACTAACCAATTCTAAGGCAAATATTGTTTAAACGTTGGTATTGAACGAAAGTTCGAATTCTGGAGTACGTTCTAAACTGGTAGAGTTCGTTTATGTATGTTCGTATGAATGTCAATTTGGCAGATGCTGAGAAATGGTGGGTGGGAGCAGTGTATTTCTTCTCTAGAACCATCTGTGAAGGAGAAACTATCAAAATATCAAGTATAGGATGATGATGTTTATCACTCAAATATACGCTTCAAATCGTTTCGAGCCAACGGTCGTTTTGTGCGTTGTCTGTGTGTCGCTCTCGTGATTGAAGATAAAAATTGCACATCCTTTAAGGTTTACACAGGTTGAGACAGCACTTGGAATGAAGCAGCAGCTGAAGTGAAGTGGGACAATGTTGTACAGTGGTGGGATATGTTGAGATAGTGTGGTGTCCTTGTAGTGTTCTTCCCAATCCTTTCCCTTTTTTCGAGTACTCATACGGTCTGGATTCGTTATATCGATCGATTTTGGAGCGCGACGGTTTGCATTACAGAAGAGATATGGATTGGATAGAGTCGACGAGAACGTTTCCGTTTCTTTTTTAGTTTTGTGATTTTGGTCCTATTGTTTTTCCATTGATGAATAGGACTATAGGCTTTTTATGAAGAAGGATAGAGAAGAGTTGTTCTTGCTAGATTTAGCAGCAATAAGGAACACTGTGATGTACTTATAAGTTTTCTTATTTAATTAAAACTATATCGTCTTTGTAATTCATCAGGATTCGCAGCAAGAGCCCTTTTCCTCATGACCTAACCCGGGGTTCTTGTATCTGATATCGGGGCTCCTCGAGTGGGGACCTTTTCTTAAGTTATGAGTCTACTGATTGAGTTGGGTTGAGTTATCGAGTTTTGTATTTTTTTTTTTAAAAAAAAATTAAAAAATCATACCCATAATACATATTATATTAATAAATAAAATTCAAATATCAAACATTCATTAAGCATTACTAACATCATGTTAAATATTTTTAATCTTTAAATAATGTCAATTGAATTGTAACTTTATTTTTGAATTAGCAACTTGCTTACCGACCCAAAATTAAAATTTTGGAGTTATTTGAATTTTTCAAAAATTTAACACAATCCAAATTGAAAGAGAAAATTTAACACAATCAATGTTTTTTGAAATGAGTTGAGTAGTTTATGTTAGGGTGTACATTCAACCCGACAACCCGGATCAATCCAACACGAACTATAAGGGATGGGTTGGGTTAGATTAGCATTTCGGGTAGGGTTAGTTCATTTTTCTGAACCCGAACTGAATCGTTTCGGGGTTGTGAAAAAAAACTTCAGTTTGACCCGAGCCAAAAAAAAATATATAAACTATATTAAGAATTTTTCCATATTAATAGATTTGTCAGTATCTCAGCCTCTATTAGGACACTCACACTTTCAAACTAATCATTTTTATTGTTTATTTAATTTAAATGATCTTTCTTATATTTTTCTTGCTCCAACCCATTCACAAGAAATGTCTATATTTAGTTGTATTTAATTTTATAATAACATGTTAATATGTAACAATTTTCGTTTGTTGTTTTTTATTGATTTTTTTTTATGTGAATAATTATAGATCGATTTATGTTTGTTTGTGAACTTTTAATATATTTTATCTAGAATTGTATCCGAATAATTATAAATGGTGGATGAATAAAACTTTTTATTTTTTTTGACAACCCAACTCAAAAATAGAGAGTCGCGAACTTTTGGGTAGCTTAGAAATAATGTATATAAGGTCAATCTTAAAAATAAAAACAAAAGAAAAATAATTAAATTTTTATTTCAATCTCTTTCAAAACGTTTAAAATGATAATCCAAGGATTTTTAAGTACTTTATCTATTCCCAAATTACAAATATACACGTGTTTATTAATATATTTTTCGCAAGTAAAACCTTTAATTATTTAAGTATCTCTTTCAAATTCCTTCCTTGATCTTTCCAAAAAGATATAAATAATAATAAAAGAAAAATCCTTTGATTCATTATTTTTTTTACATATAAATGGAATCCGTTCAAACACTTGTCCACAAACTATTTGTCGGAGAAACCTATGATCGGGTCGACACGACCAACCCAAATAGAGTTACTATCCAACAATATTCAACTTTATTTTTAATATTACTGCAAAGATAAAAAATATTTGACGTTTGTGACTTGTAAATGTTTGATACTTCAGTTTATAATAGATAAATATGATTTTTTTAATAGTTACAAATAAAAACAGCCCGATAACCGAACCCAACCTAACTCTATAACTCAACTCGAAAATAGAGAGTTGAGTTGGGTTGTAAGCTCTATTTAGATTGCTCAAATCATCAACTCAACCAACTCGAAAATTTAAGCCATTGTAAAAAAATTTCTCACTCCAACTCAACTTAATCTATGTATATTCTTACTAAAAAAAATATATAATATGGTATAAACACAATATCGGGACGTATTTAAAATTATACCAAAATAAAATTACCAACTTTATATAATATTTATTTTAAACTATATTGGACAACTTCTTATCTAAACACGTATTAAGTGTCAAACTTTTTACATTAAGATATTGGAAATAATAATGCATTTATAAATTAGAGTAAATATCTTTAAAGCTTAGCCAACCACTCCCATATAAATTTAACACTATGGTCTTACCAACCCATTTTAATTCTTGTCCATATAGACTCACCCAACATGACACGTGTTAATATTTGGATTAACTCCGTGTTTAATGAGGGTTCGATAGGTAGTAATGAAGATGAAAAATTCGAGAAATTTGGATTAAGTTAATAATTTAGTCCTCGTACTTTTAAAATTTCTATTTTAACTTAGATAGATTTTTTTATACTAACCTGCATGTTGATTAGATTAATAATTATGTTTTGACATGGTAGGATGAAAATTTTTGGCTCGATTTGTGGGTCTTGCCGTCAAACTCCCTTTTACCTTTGCATTCGAGGGCCAATTCTAGTCGTGGGAGAAATGGAGTAGGGGTAGGGATTGGTGCGTGGTGTCACGGTCATGCTTTTTTAAGGTGTGTTGTCCATGGCTGCATGTTCGTTGAATGTCAAAACCCTTGTTTTGTATCACCTTATTACTTTCTTTTACTGCTTTCATGATGTATAGTTTACTTATTATACTTTCTTCGACAAAATCATGTCTACACCTAGTAGACTTGAAATGCCTCAAAATGTACTGCAAGGAGATGCAACTAGTCGTCAATTTTTTCTACTATGAATTATATGTTATTTAAGCCGTGATGTTTCTTTCTTTGCTTATGTTAATATAACATTGTTTTCCTTTCTTTCAAATCTTGCATTCAAACTCCTTTTCCAAAATCTCTCCCTTCGTCTAGTTCTTTAAAACTTTTTTCTCAGAGTGGAGCCATAGGCTTGAGTGTATGTTGTTAGGTCGACGGTGACACGATATCGAGTTGGGTGACTCACTGACTAGTGAATTGAGTGAGTGACGCACACTTACTTACAAACATCCCATTAGAGGGCGATAAGATGTGTATTAGACACAATTTAGTCCAATCCAAGCTAATTATATTGTGGAGTTACTATGTAATTAATCAACTCCTACGCTCCTTAAAGCGCGTGGTTTCACTCTCCAAAACTCCATCAAAATCCCCTCACTCCTCACACCACAACTTCTCCCACCACTCTACAACCAAAACAGTCCCCAAAATCTCTCTCTCTCTCTCTCTCTCCAAATCTTAAAACTAAAATTCAGTTTCTCTCTCCTCATCTCTCCGCCATGGAAGAATCCTCTCCCACTTTCCTCTCCTCCGATCGACTTCTCAGCTCATCGGAATTAGAATTTTCCGACATCGAAATGACCCCTCTTCAATCCTACACCAGCCTCAAGGACCTTCTGCCGGACACCCCCTCGCCGCCTCCCTCCGCCGCCTACCCTCTCCAATGCCCCGCCTGGGACGAACTCCCCATCAAAAACCCACTCGTCAAACACGCCGCCTTGGCCTACCTGCAGCCGATGCTCACCCCACCAGCTGCCGGCGACCGTAGCTTTATGCGCAGGCTCAAGAAGCACGGATTCGGATGCATCGAGTGGCTCGTCGCCGTCATCGGAGAACTCTCCGGTGGAGTCCGCCGGTGGTAATCATCGGAAATGCCTGTGGTACATCATCCCCACCCCCATGAAGCTTTCAGTTGACTGGCGGATAGAAACAAAAACTTGATCTCCGAAAAAGAAAATAGTTTTTTTTTTCTTTTTCTTTTTAAATATTTATGTAATTTCCCAGAATTTTCCATGGGATTAATCAGTGGAGTGACGTGTAATTAAAATTGAGATTTGTTTGTAATGTTTATTATATATATATATATAATATGATGATTTGTGTATCCATATGATTGGTTGAAATTTTATCCCACTTTTTTTAATATTTCTAATGTCTTATTCTAGTGACACGTCAACATTTATGAATGGTCCAACTTAGACTTTGTGACATTTTTTAAAAAGAAAAATAAATAATAAATCCTATAAATTCACTACTATTGTCAGCTTTGACCCATTACGTATAGTTATCAGCCTCACGATCTTAAGAACAAGTTTACATACTTATAAGGAATGTTTTGTTCTCCTATTTTACTAATGTGAGATCTCACAATCCGCTCCCTTAGGGGTCAGTGTCCGGTTTAAAGAGAGGTTTTCGTACCCTTATAAGGAATATTTCGTTCTCCTCTTCAACCGATGTGAGATCTCACAATCCACCCCCTTGGGGGTCAAGTACGATTTAAGAAGAGGTTTCCATACCCTGATATTTTGTTCTCCTCTCCTACCGATATAAGATCTCACAATCCACCCCTTGGGGGCCAACGTACCATTTAAGGAGAGGTTTCTATACCTTTATAAGGGATATTTCGTTCTCCTCTCCTACTGATGTGAGATCTCACAATCCACCCCTTTGAGGGTCAGCGTATAGTTTAAGGAGAGGTTTTCATACCCTTATAAGAGATATTTTGTTCTCCTTGTTGGCTTATTGGCCCTTGATCTCACATTAATTAATTTCAATGAATTAATTATTGATGTTTTGATGATAACAAACCTACTTTTAATTATTAACTATTTTCAGTTTTTTGAACTGTCCACAGTATAAGGTCGGGAATAACGATTACAACAACTTTTCAATTACTCAAATCAGAGCTAAAACGAAGAAATTAGAGTCGAGACAACATACCCGACGTGATGATGTGGCAACAAAATCAAAATGATGGACAAATCAAAATATATCAAAGTATGACATTTATAATATTGGAAGAGTAACACATGGTGGAGTTTTTCTTATTATTACATTTCTAAATAAAATTATTTTTACAAATATAAATTTGAATATAACCGTTACTCACATCGAATTTTATTATTACTATATTATATTATTATATTATTATATTTTAAAATTTTGGTAGTTACTCACATCATTTTTATTATTATTATATTATTATATTTATAATAAATTTTGAATTACATTTTAACCGTTACTCACATCGAATTTTATTATTACTATATTATATTATTATATTATTATATTTTAAAATTTTGGTAGTTACTCACATCATTTTTATTATTATTATATTATTATATTTATAATAAATTTTGAATTACATTTTACCGTTACTCACATAACTTTTTATTATTATTATATTATATTACTATTATATTAAAATTTTGAAATAAATGAATTTAGAAAATTTTCTTACTTAATT